TACGCCCCTCATACCCCAGGCAACGGTCGTTTTGAAGCCCAAGACCTATTGGAGGTACCTGGGCTTCTACTTTGACCGTGGGCTCACCTTTCATGAGCACGTTCGCTACTATGCCACCAAGGCGTTTACCACCGTGCAGGCCATGCGCATGCTCGGAAACTCTACTAGAGGTCTTTCACCTAAACAGCACTGCCTCTTATACCGGTCGTGTGTGGTTCCCATTGCCACATACGGCTATCGTCTCTGGTATTTTGATGGCGCCCGTAATAAGGGCGCGATGAACCAGCTAAAATGGATGCAGCGGAAGGCTGCTCTATGGATCACGGGTGCTTTCCGCACCTCACCTACAGGCGGTCTTGAGGCTCTAGCGGGCCTCATCCCTGTCCATTTTATGCTTCGAAGCTGGCAACGCGTGCAGTGTATTGCGTCGCCACCCTCTCAGACACCCACCCTCTTCGCTCCATGATGGGCGAGGGACTCCTCAAGCGAGCCGCACCACACGCTCGCTCCGCCGCCTTGATGACCCCAGCTATGCGAGGGAAAGTCAAGAGCACTGTCATGGAGGTGGACGAGCGTGTCCACACCTTAACTGAGAGCTTCAAACCTTTTGCACCCGAAGCTCGCCCAGGTGATCGGTTACTGGACCGCTACGCGGACCGTATCCACTTTGACGAGCGCGATCCTACCCAGGATAGGCGTCCATACCTAGACGAGCTCATCACGAGAGCGAGAGCCGACCCACTAACAGTATTGGCTGCAACTGATGGCTCTGTCCCTCAGTCCAACCAGTATCAGGCGGCTTCGGCTGCTATAATCTACAAGGGACATCGCGAGCTCGAGAGGACTTGCTATGTCTCTGGCAGAGTTACCGCCCCAGATGCGGAACTCAATGCCATCTCGTGTGCAGTGCGCCTTGCTGTCAAGCAGGCAAACTGCCAACATATTATGGTCTTTACTGACTCTATGGGCTCAGCCCATAGAGCGGTTGACCCCGGTGTGCATTCTGGTCAGGCTTTTAGTCTGTCAGTATGTCGCGCTCTTCAAGAGTGGTTCGAGGCAGATGATCTGCGCCGCATTACCTTCGTCTACGTCCCATCCGCCCTGCGGTGGGATATCCATGGTGAAGCACACAAGTACGTCACCGAACTTAAAGTCAGGGTTGGACATCGCAAGATGGACAACTCTATAGATGCGCTATGCTCTCAAGCTGTGCACTCAGTCCTGGACTCATGGAGTTCCACTTTCCAGGATCCAACCTACCAGGGCTCTGAATTCTTAGAGCTTCAACGGCCTGACGGGTGGCCGATACAGCCATTCTACCTCAATGGGGGACCTTGGCTTTCAACCTTCGGACACAGTATCACTGAGTTCGCTCGCGTCTGCTGGTGCATAACTGGCCATGCGCCCATTGGAGCGTATTACCGTCGCTTCAAGATCAATGAGCCTCACGGCTGCACTTGCGGGGCTGCTTTGCAGTCTCGCCAGCATATCCTCTTTCGCTGTCACGATAGATATTCTGTACACTATCCCTGTTTTCTCGGGGATATTGCATCGTTTATGAAGTACAACTCTACAGTT